GTCTTGCAAAAGAGAAGGAAGAGAATATGATGATTCCCTCACGTATTTAGACGGAGCAATTGAAAAGAGGAAAAACAGCTTTCTAAGATACAGGACTATATTAGCAAAATAATAAATGGATGCAGTCTCAATGTGTGGGTTGCAAGTGGTTTTCAGCAATGAGGTGAGTGAGATTCTGGAGGAACCTTCCCATTTCCCAGTACTAGGGAACAGCCAGATTAAAACATAGTTGGGTTGGTTTATGAAAGGCATTATATGGTTGCTTGCAACAGTGGAAGACTGAACAAGACTGAGGATACCCTTTCTGGTCTTGCAACCTACCTTTTATTGATTATTTAATCAAAGGGACAAGGCCAGACTTGACAATTTAAAAGAATAACTTCAGATAATAAACAGCACTTCCCATCTCTCAAGCTCAAAACTCTACCTTGGCAAGTCTGCTTTCACAATGGCCTGTGAATCAAGAATATGAAAAGGCGGGGATTTTTCTAAACCCAGTTTTTGCTGCAAGAGGAAGTGGTGGGTCACAATGTTTATTGCTAGCTACCATTGTAAAATCTTGGTTAGATTTAACTTCACAATAGTAATGTAAATAGTGGAAACCAAGGAGGCACTGCAGTATAACTGAATCATCACATTTTTAAAGGAGTTGCAATATGTTTACCAGAACAATCTATTATTAAAAAGCACAGCTAACTGTAGAGTATCTTTTACTGAGAACATATTAACTCCACAGTCGACCAGAATTAGCTTCTAGTGATTAACACTGGAAGCGAGTGTGGCTTCAGCAATCGCTCTGCACGCCGCCTTTTTTACGGTCCTTAAAGAGCAGTTTATTTTTTCTCGCTCAGGCAGCACAGAGACAYGCAGAGTGGCAGCTGGAGCTGAGCCTCGCTGAGCCTCCGGAGGCAGAACCTGGCAAAATCTTCCTTCCCATCCATCAGAGCTGCATGGTTCCCATACACCCATAAACCTACAGCCCAGTAAGAAACGTGTTTCATTTACCATATGGGAAAGGCAAGAGGAAAAATACTTTCGTATCTGGTTATATCTTTATTATGTTGATATTTCTTTTCTCTGTCCTGACTGACTGAACACTTTAGTCACCAGAAAAWCATGAGCGTAAGATGTCTGAAAGAAGCTCTAGAGTCACCTGCTCAAAGCAGATCTGGTTAGATCGGATTGCTCCTTGATCAGTCAGGTCCTGAACATTTCCAAGGGCATATTCCACAACCAATTTGGGCAGCCCACTTCAGTGTTGTACCACCCTCATGGTGAAACATCATTTTCTCTTACATTTGTTCAGTATTTCCTGTGCTGTTACCTGCATCCTCTACCTCTCATCCTATTACCACAGATTTCTAAGTAGAAACTGTCTCCATCCTCTCTCTACCATCCTATTAGATAGCTGAAGTCACCAGCATCTTATTCTTTAGGGACAGAGGCAGTGCCAAAATAGCTTTTGCAGACTGGCGTTGACACTGGAAGTGCATCTTTTTAAAAGGTCTTAATTCAGACAGTGCTGAAACCTCTTTCACAAGGCTCTGCTTTTACTCACCAACCTGAGGAGAGGAGTGAAGGTTCACTGATGTATGACAGACAGATCTGCAGCTCAGGACAGATCTACACCTCACCTCATCCTGGCCAGGAGCTTCTGCACTGCTCAGCATTTCCAGCAGTAGCATTCCTTGAGCACTGCACACTACATATTTCTGAACTGACTATAAAACAAGATCCTCCCTCTGAAATTCTTCTTTACTGCTACTGGAGAAAACCCACAGCAAATGTTAATTGTCTCCATATCATATACTTCATGTGGGGCCATGATGACTTACACCAGTCAAGGAAATCAGTAAATTTACACAACTCAGCTCACAAAAAAAAAAAAAAAAATAGTTGCACACAACAGGCTTCTAACTCAGCAATGAAGTGTTGTTCTTCCTCTAAGATTTGGAGAGGAAGTCTCAGTCATGCCTTTCCTTCATTAATGCTTCTTCTTCCCCTGTTTCCCTTGCAGCCTAGTAAGCACCAGGTCTCTTTTCAATCTGAAATCTAAGCAGCATGAGGAAGACAGATAACTGAATTCAATTGTGAATCTAGACATGAGCCCAAAAGACTGTAGCTGATGATCCAGTTTGCATCTTTTTCTAATTCTTCTTGCGTAAAAAAGATGTGTAATTAAAAGTAGTGGCTAGTCTGCTTTAAATAATTAGACCTTCTCTTATATTTTCCTTTTYCTGCTCTCTTATCAAGCTCTCTGGCAGCCCAATTTCACCTACTTTAGCTCAGACCCTCAGCAGTCAAGCTCAGAGGTGACATGTAAGGGATGGTAGCTTATTGTAAATGTAAAATTCAATTACTGTGTAATTAAAAACAAACAAACATGCATTTGGAAATAAATAATCGCTCACTGAGGAGGATGGAAGAACTTAAATTTTATCGATTGTTGTGGCCACTAATCTTCCAAGAGAAGTGGCAAACCCCCGTGAATTTCCATGCCACAGTATTTCAAAGGCACAGATATAATGTGATATGAGATAGGGATCAGGCACCAATACTGAAAAGCTGAACAGCCCAATAGATCATTTCAGCACCTTTCTTTTAGTGAACCATGCCTTTCTACCTACCAGTCATTTACACAAAATCTACAGCTTGAAAACATCAGTATTGATAACGGTTACACCATTAAACCTTCTCTTCAAACACAACACATGCTTCAGAGAAACTCTATGGAATAATATCTTCCAGTCACATATCTACATTAATATCCGCCTGGCTAATAATCACCCTTGTCAAAATACATGATTATCTGCAGGTAACAGCAACAAGCCAGAAAAGAATGACTTTTCCTCACGCAAACAGCTTAAAACAATCATAGCAGGATACAGYGTTTGACAGATTTATGCAGCATTCTGGAAAAATGTACTGTATTTTTGCTGAATTAGGCTGAAGTTTGTCCGAGGACTGCAGTGCAAAAGTGTTGGCCCAAGACACTCCTTCTAGCTTTACAAAGACAGTTACTATGAATGGTCTTTTTATGTATTTACTCATTAATTTATAAAGGTGTTTTAGCAGCTAGCAAGCGTATCTGAACATTCGCTGCATAAATTGTGTTGGCTTCTAGAACAACAGTTTTATTTAAGAGTGAGAAAATGTAAATGCAGTGCCCTAGCTTTATGCAAACTTTTACTTGCTGCACATCTACCCCCCCCCCAAAAAAAAAAAAAAAAAAAGGAAATCTGCTGACATTGGAAATATGGATATTTTACCCTTGGTTATATTTATATTCTTCTATGAAATCATTTTCCCCTGTTACACAGCCCTTGAGATTTGTAAGGAATATAGTTACTGTGCATGTGTGGGTCAGATTCTGCTCTCAGTTACACAAACACACACTGAAGCAACCTCAAAGACAGTCTATTACTCTGGCTTTAGAGTGTTCTGAGATCAGACTTTGGCTCTGAGAATTTTATTTTCATGCAAGATTTAACTTCAAATACAGCAGCTTTCGCTGCTTGTTTGAAGCAAACAGATGATGATTAACACCACTTTTTAGTGGAAGACACATGCTTCTGTCTCCTTTTGAAATTCCAAATACATTTTGCTTCCTGATGAAGCCTAGAAGAGCGATAAGGTATCTCCACCACGCAATGAAATGGCATCAACGTCTGGCAGTACTGCCATTAAGTAGCACAGGCCTCTGAGGGCAAACCACAGCCTCTCTTTCTCTATATATCTAYGCACACTAACCCCTAAGCAGGCTGTGCTATGTGCCACAGTGCAAATTTGTATCACTGAAATTATTCCAGATCATGAGCTAATTAGTATTATGAATTAATTACATCAACACATACATTAAGCACATTCAGTGGTACATTTAATTGAAATTAAAGCAGCTACTCACTGCATATTAAAACAAATATATGCTATGTTGTGCCATCTCCCCCTCCCATATAATTTTCACAACTGGTTTTGTTCAGAATTAACTGTAACAGTCGATCACTCATCCACATTGGTTTTGAAGTTATGTTTAGTTGTGTGTAATGATAGATCTACTCCCTCAGAGCCTCCTTCAGCACCTCTTTAATCTTCAGCCAAGATTATCCTCAGTACTACTCACTTACAACTGCCAGCATATTTCACTTAATAATATATCGGTCATTTTATCCGATGTTAAATTTGCCCACAACTGTAGCTAAAGCCCTCCAACAGCTGACATCCGAAATCATTAGCTGAATCAGTCTGCTGGTCAGTTACATTTACTGCATCTTCTGCACTGTGCAAGAGCAGCTACATCTCTCAGTTTCTCAGAGGTTGATACGTTCAGCGTTTCATTCCTCAATCTCAGAGCCTTGGCCATCAGAAGGGCTTGCCTCATCTGCAAAAATTAACTGCCTCTGTGGAGTTAATCTATACCTAGTTCCTGTATGAAGAAAAGAAAAATAAATAAACAAACAAGACCTGCTGCGGCCACCGCCAAAATGTTGAAATACTTGTGAATATTTGCGGRAGTTTGTGTAAGGTTTTCCTGTAAYAGCTTGCTAGTGCTGTCACGTACTCTGAAGACTCTTGTAAAGTTTATTTTAGGATTCTTTGTGAAAATAGTGTTTTTTAAGCAAATATTATTGAGCACTGGCAAATAAATGCTGAGGGTTTCAAAGGGCAAAGAAGAGCCTTCACACTGGAAACCTGACTCAGCCGTGACCTTTCCACAACCGCGCGGGGAATGTACCATGCGATTCACATTTCCAGTCAAAACCCCTGCATTTTGAATGGCCGATATTTGCAATGGATTACTCCCGTGCAAGGGAGAGACTGAGAGTTCTTAGAGGAAATTATTCACACAGCAGCACTGATCAAAACACCGTATTAAGAAAAAAATGTGCGTGATGCTGTCATAGGACCTAGGAACTGGCAGATACCACAGCGTGACCCAGCCCGACTTGCTGCTCTCTCTTTTCTCAAGGACAGCCCAAGACACGTGGCCCTGGCGAGCTTACCTGTAGATGAAGGGCGCTACGGTGGCAGTGTTGGGGTGGCTGTATTGCTGCTGCTGGGGGAGCTGGACAGCGCCGCTGCCCGTCACTTGCCCGCTGCCCACGGCCGCCGAGCCGGGAAGTGCGGCCGCGGGGCCGGCGGGAAGAGCGGGGCCGGGCTCCTTTCCTTCGGAGGAAGCGAGGCCGCAGGGAGGTGAAGCCTTCTCTGCAAGCTGAGACTTTGGGCCTGGCTGGGCCTGGTTGCCTTTTGTAGTCCTCAGTTTTTCAGCCTCCTTACTTCCCGTGCAGGCGGGTGAAGCGCCCTGCTTTGCCGTGGGCACCTTAGAGCCGGGCTTCGGGATCCCGCTAGAAGAGGGTATTAAACTTTCTTTCTTGGCTGCGGTCGTCTTGCTCCCCTTTGGGATTAAGCTTGCAATTTTGGAGCTCTTCTTCATAGACGTTTCAGTGACCGGGTCTTTCTCTTCCTTGACTGTTTTCTCAGTGCAAACTTTGTTTTTGTCCCTGCTCTTTTCCTCTTTGTCCTTTGGCTGTAGCAAAGACTTTTTATTGCTGAGATTTTTGCTTCCAGCTTTTGGAGGGGCTAATTTTGGCGACACTTTAGGACTGCTGCTTGTGGAGCCGCCACTGTTCATGCCGCTTAAGACATCCACCTCGCCGCACTCCGACAAGGCATCATCCTCTCGCCCACTGTCACTGGGCCCTGAGCTCAGYGACAGAGGAGGCCTTAAAGCAGTCCGAGCGTTGACCAGCTTGAACTTTTCCAGCATAGATTTTTGGCCGGACGAAGGAGCTTTCCCGCCTTCCGAAGGGGGCGGCTTGAGCCTCTCGGCGGACGGCGTCGGGGAGGTGGCGGGACTGGGCTGCTTCACGGAGAGCATGGTGGAGGTGGCACTGTGCTTCACGTTCATGGACTTGCTGCGCCACGGCTTGCTGGCGCTYGGTGAGGGAATGGCCGAGCCCTGCTGCTGCTGCTGCTGCCCGCCGCCCGCGGGCTGCTGCGCCGTGCCGTTCATGCCTGCGCAGGGGGGAGGCCCTTTGGGAGAATCTGCTCAAAACACCAAAGCGGGAGGAAGGAACAGGGAGTTACACGTGGGGCAGCAATGGAGTTCATCTCCTTTCTCCCGCTGGAAGGTGGCATCGTGTTTGCTTTGCACCAAAAGCCACACTCACCGCTGAACTCTCAAAAATCACTGGAAATGTGATTTATAATAACCACAGTTTAAATGGGCATGCTTACAGATGCTAAGCAAAAATGCCTTTTTCTTCCCCCACCATTGAGGTGTTTTGCAATATTTCTTTCTTGGAGTTCAAGAAAGCTTGCAGATATTTTCATCACAACTATTTCCTTATTCAAATCAAACCTTTCAATTTAAAGATTTTGTCTCTAAAATGCCATGAAAAAATCTTCCCATCAGTTGTTAACTCTTACCTGCCGAGATATGATACTGGGGCAGGGGCGGGAGTAATATTGGAAGAAAAAGAATAAAATCCCATAAAAAAAACCTTTYTGATATTTAGCAAAAGTAAAATACGTTGTACATAGTTGTTTTTGGGGGGAAAGGGAGGAATGAGTAAGCATGCACATGTATGAAAGGGGAAATACCACCAGTGTTCATCAAAGCAAAAAATGGCTAGTGTAGGTAAGGGCTTGTTTGACATCCAAAATACCTAATTTACTTCTGCCTTCTGCTCACTAAGCTTTCTTGTTATTAACTTGTTGTTAACAAGCACTCGCAGATGATGTCAGGAACTCATCACAGGACACTTTCCTAGGCAGGAGAAAATCGGTCAAGAATTTCACCACTGCCAGTACTTGAAAGCTGCGCATGATCCATCACCCTACAGCAATGGCAGGGGTTTGGCCATGAACCTCAGGCAGGTACAGAAGGCTCATTTCCATCTCAACATCATTACAGCCTTTAGTACTTCCACAGCACCTAAGAGTTACTCCAAATCTGCAGAACGTATGAGATCCTTAAAAAATAACCAAAAGTTGATACCATGCTGAGAGTCATGCTTTCCAAGTAAGTCATCCAAGTCAGTCAGTCAYCTAGCCAAGTCATCTAGACAAGTAAGTCATCTAGCCTTATCAAGCAAAATGGAATAAAACATGGACTCTTGTGTTGTGAAGCTCACATGTSATTCCAAGATGTCTCTGCACATCTGAATGCCATTCATCTGCACCATCAGAGAAATGAAGGGGTAATGGTAACTCAAGATGTACCTAGTGTTGCTGGTTGCATGGGACCCAGCACACATGCCCCATGCACACGGAGAGGCTTTGGGACCAGTGGCTATGAGAGGGGATGAGGGAGCCCCTCTGCCCACCGGCTGCAGAGCTCCTGCCCCCTTGCACGAGGGCAGGGGCTGTGGCTGGGCCTCTGTTATTTTCTGGTGAGCCTCAGATCTTGGCCCCAAGCCTGGGGCCAGCAACAGCTGCTGCAAATTACTGCAGCCTTGAGGCTTCTTTCTGTTTATCCCTGGGATCAGCCCTGTGGCTGCTGGCCCAGGCCTGGGTGTGCGTGAGGGCCTTCTTGCACACGTCCTGCCCCGCACTACACACGCCTCAGAGGATTGGGGGCTTTCGCTATCACAGGAGAGCTGCAGAGGAAAATTCACCCTAAGCATGCAAAACCTCGCGCCAAATACACGAGGCAATCTGTGAACAGCAGGATGCCCCTCCGCTCTGCTGTATTAACTCTGGTACATGTGTATGTATTCAGGCTATTAATTTTACTTCAAAGAAAAGAGTTCWGATTAAAAAGAAGAATGTAGGCCTGGCCATATGTCCTGCTATATAATATTAAGCTCAAAAGGGGGAATAATGTAGAAAAAAGTTTTTATTGTTTCATCAACAGCCTGCTCCACTGCTCATAGAGCARAAAACAGAGGTGCCTGCAACTCCCGGTGCTTACTTGACGGCCCTGTCACAAACTCTAAGCAGCATCAGAACATTTACAAACAGATTGGAAACTCAAACCTGTCTTTAATCTTCACTTCTAAGTAGATCTTTAATGGTCCTTCAAGGAAGGTGGGCTGCATGTGCCCAAGTACCATGCAGAGTCTGTCTGCACATTTAAAGAAGAGGAAGAAAAAGATTTACTTTCTCCTCCTAGTCCACATGTGTTACTTGGAGCTATTTGTCTATCACTGCTTTATGTGCATTCAGCTGGAATAGTGTTCATTACATGAAATTTGTCCCCACCTTGTGGTAATGTTGATGCAGAGTGAATGCTCTGATGAGGGTTTCCTGTTCTCTAAGTCAAAATGTACAAGGAGRTGGGCTTGTCCCTTGGCCTATTCTCCTTATTCCTGAAGTGCATCATCACCTTTTGGTGCAAACAGTCTGGGATCCCCCTGAGAGCTTCTGGGCTCAGGCCCACCTGCTTTGGGACAGCAGCACAGCCACCCCTGGGTGCTCAGCACAAAGGCAGAAATTGTATCAGAACTGAACCAGAATACAGTAACAAAAAGGTGTATTTTCAAGTCATTTTTCCATGGGCTCTTACACAAATAAAGGCTGTGTGAGGGGTTAAACTTGAGTTGGATACATAATCACCTTCCTCTATCTTCTCATCCGTGACCTGCTCTGCACACTGTGATGCTGGAGAAGATGGATGCTCTATAAGAGCTAACCAGTTGGAGCCAAGCTAAGCACTGATATTCTAGATATTCCAGAGCAGGCAAAGTATTTCTAGTGGAAACACTTTGATGCCATTACACCAGGTGTCCTGATTAGCACATGTAAATTTTCAGTCACCTGTATCAGAAAGCTTAATAGAAAGGGAGGGCTGGCGGGATGTTCAGAAGAACATGAAATCTGTCCAAGGACACTGAAAGAGCTCAGCATGGGGGGACATCTGCCAGGAGCAGAGCTGCCCCTCTGCAGCATTCCGGAGGGAAGCGCCTCCGGGAACAACCRGCAAAGCGCTGGCACCACCAAGCTGTGACAAGCTAGCAGCAGATCCGCTGCTGCTGTGCATCCAGGACACGTCCTGGCCACAGGACTGCAACCGCCAGCAAAAAAAGGGGGGTTCTTAGCATTGACGTGGGGAAAATAGCCCAGCGGCATTAAAGCTGAGGTTGGATGGTAAATGAACAGCATTTCCTACTATACAGCTATATTGAATAGCAGGCAATTAAATTCTGTGGCCTAGAGGCCCTTATCTGTGTTCAGCTACAGTGTTTCTRAGCTCTAGAACGTAAATATATGGGGGGCGGGTTTCAATTCGATTTGAATTAAAACATTATTTCTTTGCTATATCAAAATGCCATAGGTATCCATCTCATTATCAATGTGAGCAATTACTTTATTCAAATYGTTTCCGAATAACAGTACTATTATTTTCTCCTCTCTATTCTATTTAGTCAGAAGCAGATGGATGTTATGTGACCTGGAAAACAGATGTGTTCTTTGAAATCCATCCATCCAGCTGCAACATCCAGCAAAGAAAAAAAAGACTCAAGCTGCACGATGAGTTTCAATCTGTAGTACATTTACAATTCTGGTGCCTTCTATATTCCTGTGTTCATCACAGCTACATGAAGTCATTGCTATCACAGCTATGGAGTGGATCTTTGGGTGAAAAAAACAGTTATACTGCATCAAAAGCAAAGCTGCTTTGGCTTTAGGAGAGCTAAGGTTTCTTAGTGAGTGAACTATTCCCTAGGAAACTTTCCTAAGAGTTAACATTAATGAAAGCGTAAACAAAAGACCCACATCACATTTATTTTGGATCATTTTAAGCTCTCTCTTACATCTGTGACTGCAAACCCATTCCTTACTGTGATTGAATTGGAAACCACATTATATGGTGACTGGGTATATTACATATATATAACTGAAAAAAAAAAAAAAATATATATATATATATCTTTTCAGAGGTCTCTTTATAGCACAAAGAAGAAATTGTACAACAGAGAAAAAGGTACCAAAAGTGGTCAGAGTGACCTTGAAGAGATCTGCACGTCCGAAGATCTAGTACCTACTTACATACTGCAAGATGATTCTTTTTCTGCTTCAGTTTATGCAGCATTAAAGGCAGAATTATAAACTAGGTATTATATTTTGCAAGTATCAGAAATTAGTGTGCTTGAGCACAAGCTGTTAACATTAAGTTATCTCACTGCAAGTATTTATGTTGGAAGAAAAATTTTAAGTACAGCTTTCATTCTGTGCGCTGCACTGTACTAACAGTTTTCCAAAGTTCACTACCACTCTTTTAATAGGTAGGTGTGCATTATTATTATTACTATAATTTTGAGGGTTGAGGTTTGTATCAAAACATATTTTTCAAAAAAAAAAAAGACTTYGAGGCAGAGAATATCCTATTTAAGAAAAACTATTTGAAAATATCATTGTAATATTTAAAAAATAAGTCACTGTAATATTTAAATTGAAAAAAAATAGCAGGCTGCTGTTGTTTTCTCTCTTAAGGCATAAAAAGTAATACAGTAAATTTAAATATATTTTTTCATATGTTCTTTAGTGTATTATAAAAAAATACCCCTTCATGATCCTTGCACTCACAGTAGCCAATTTTTCTCATTAATGTCTGCTTTACTTACATACTGTTCTCATGCTGTTTTGAAAGAAAGAAGACAAAGCAGACAGAAACATCTAAAATATAGCCCCAAATATATTTATGCACCATTACATTTCCCATATCCTGTAAAATGAATTGAGTGATTATATATAAACAAAGCCACTCTCATCCTCTCGCAAGTAAGATGTCACTAAAAATCTCATCAAGCTTCTCATTCCCTGCCGTGAGGAAATAGGAAAGTAAAGGAATCCGTCATGCAAAATGCCATGTAAATGTGCAATGCWACACAAACCTGAGCAGTTCAAAAGCAATTTCCAAGTAATGAGCCAAGAATATTAATATCTACAAGCGAGTCTCACCTTGAGTCATTTCACTCTTTCAATATTTCAGTAGCAGACTTATGTCGACATTATAAAGCAAATTCTTAAACCTAAGCTACTGTACATACCTTCAGTCAAGCAGCCCCATCTCCTATGTCTTAACTTCACTTATCATATTTGTGAACTATGAAGTCTTCTCAGAGATCATCCTCATCTCTTTTGAGTTCTAGTCTGAATAGTTGGCCATATACAAGTCCTTGATAAAATAAATTCCTCTACATAACTATCTAAAACATTCAACCCCAATAGTAAAACTAAAGAAATGACTATTGAAAGGATGGTTTTAGATCTTCAGATACAGCTAGGGGCAAAGTGTGTTCATCAGAATTTTGTAAAAAAAAAAAAAAATCTGGATAGCTGCCTGTTGCTTGGATGAAGAACATTCACTGCATATTTGTTCCTCCCACAGACCCCAAGGATGCAAACGGGTACTATGTATATTGTATCATTTTCAACTGTATTCTAACCCAGAGATATGAATAAAATGCTGTTCATTACACAAAGGGAAAAAGAAAGGGGTGGGGGGAGCTGGACTGGTTACACAACTCAGAAAGCTGAATTTTTACATTATTCTTTTTCTGAGATAAAGCCTGAATAGGAACATTTTCCAGGGAAATGGCGTCAGATATGGGAGAAACAGAAGTGCCCAGGGAGCTCAGTTTGTCTGCAAAATGAAAGTTCATATTTGAAGGACAAAGTAAAACATGAACACTGAAYTCAAATCTCTGCAAATTCCATTAAATTTGGCTTAATTTCTAATCTCCTTTTCAGACTCATATTTATTAGATAAGGTATWGAAGGGACATATATTTTGATGCAAAATTCTTATAACCTTCCCCCTTTAGAAGTTCAGATGCAAATTCCCCTGAAGATGCATGCAGTCRCCTGCTGCATATGAATGGACTCGAATACGGCCCAAGATATTATGCATGCAATATGGATTCATTTTTACCGCAGAGACATCATCCAACGACACTTCCAACACTCTTAACATCTTCAAAGTTTGCACTTCTGAACTTGTAGCCCAGTTCAAAACGTCCTACTTCAGAGCAGTATCTCCACAGGTCTTCCAAACCAAGCCCAATTACGACATTCCCTCCTTTGCCACTCCAGCTGTTTTTATTTTCCCACTGTTGTACTACTGAATAATAGAGTTACTCACGTTTAATCACTTACCTTTTTCATTGCCATTTGCATATTGAGGCGGCTTGTTTTTGTCAATGCTGTTAAAGCTCTGACTTCGCCGATTTAAGTTAGAAGCTCCCTGGACTTTGGTACTGCTGCCTGCAGCTGGCACCCTCGAGGGTCCTGGAAGCCTGGAATGGTGTAATGGGAAATCAGCTTGTTGTACGTAATGCAACACACAGGAGAGGCAGTATCAGAACATCAGGCCATAATTTAAAGCCAGCAACTGCATAACAACGATTTCATGTAAGCAACAATGAACAGCAGGGTTCAAATTAGTTAAGACTCAACAAATGCAAAAGAAAGCTTTGTCCTTACGCACACAAACGGGGAAGGGATGCTTTCTAGATTCACGAGACATGTAAAAAGATACTTTGCATTTGCCATTAACATTGCTAAAACAGATTCACCCTAACAAGCTATTAAAGTGCAAACCCAACTTTTAAGTATATCCTTTTTTTGGAGGAAATGTTACAGAAATTATCTAGAAACCACAGAAATGAATAGTTGGGAAACATTCTGTATATCTGGCCTAGTAAATACTTTACAGCTAAGGGTGTTTAGCATAAAAGCTGGATTTTCTTTTATCTCTTTGGTCATTTTTGGGGGTTATTGGCTAGCACATTTCTACCTCCAGAGGTTTATAAGCTTATTATTTTAAATTAAAAACACTAAAAACAAGCATTTTATCTGGATGCTACAGATGTGTGTATACCTTTTTGATATTAGAATAAAATGCAGACTGTACAGTTCATTTGTTGGTATTTGCTGCCACCAGCTGAGCCTTTCTGTGTGTGGTTATCTTAAAGGCAAAAATGTAGAATCTCTTGCCCRGCATGTGCGAGTCTGCCTCTTTTTCTGTCTGCATCAGTTCTCTGATGGAAGATTCTTTAATACCTGCCTACTTCCAACTTTCTGCAGCATCTTTGTGGGTAACCCTACTTCTTTTCCATTTTGTTATCTAATAGACAAAATGAAATGGTCAAATCAGCAAGAGAGTTTTACCACAGGAGAATATCTACCTTCTGCTCCTCACTGGTTACTGTAATGGGATAACGATTTTTACCAGAATTCAAACCATATCTAACATACAAATTGCATCAGAGTTATCAAATTCAGCTAGCGTCACTATATTGTGATGTTATATTACTGCATTACGACTGAATTATAGTACCAGAGGGGAGAGAAAAATCACGTTATAAAGGATAGCAAAATGCTAGCTTTCTCCAAACATTTTAACGCCCTGGCATATCAGAAATGTTCGAATCAATTTAGTGTCATTAGTGAACACACGTGAACAGCTCCGTATTCTCTTCCTTTACCAATTTAAGCCTCGGAGAGCTAACCCATTAGTTATTTTTATGGCTCGTTCTGGCCGCCAGCCTGCCCCGTGGTCTCTGCGCGGAGCCCGGAGCCGCCTGTCTCTCCTCTGCAGCTGGAGGCTTTCTAACCTCCACCATGACCCACGAGCTCCAGTGATCTTCTGTTCCCTGAAGAATGCACTAAAACAAACTTAAAAATCCATTTGCTCCTTCTCATTACCCTAATTTGACAGGCAGCAAGAGCCCTGAGATCGTTTGTCAAAGGTAATGAAAAAAAGCAACAAGAAGGCATGTGCAACACTAGAAACTCATCTGTTCTCTTAAAATACAAAATACTTCTGCATATATTCAGCATGCCAGAATTCGAGAACTTGCCACAGTAAGCACATTACACATGAGGTCATTTGCTCTACACACTTTCCAGTTTACCTCATTTACTGTCTTTTTTAATCGAATTCAGGTTTTAAATTGCTCTCGCAGAATCCTGTTAAGCAGCTAAGGAAATGCAAAGAGGAGAGTAACAAATAAGGGACAGGTCACATACCTCTGAACAGGCCTCGGAAACACTGCCACAGATWTAAAGTATTAGACAGTAAGACTGTTAAGCCCCAGACATGTTGAGCGTGGACAAGACAGGAGCATCAGCCATAAGGAAGACCTGGAAGTGCAGGTGCGAAGCAACCGTACCACGGTACAGCTCATCCCAAGCTCTCACCAGCAGCTCAGGCTGTGTTAGTACACCGCAAAATGCAATATTTAGGCTGGATTATACGGTTTAGAGTTCATTGCTCCCACCAATGAACTGGACAGCAGAACAGTGTGAGTCAGAAACCCCCAAAACTGCTCCCCTCTGAAAAAGGCCCGGAACAAGAGGAACCTTCGGAGCTCGGTGTCTTTTGCAAACCGGTTTGTAGATTTTAGTGCTCATGGAGGTGATAAACTAGAAGTGCTGATGAAATCTGAAACAGAATCAAATATTCTGCCAAACCCAAGCATCTCATTAGCAGGGACAGAGTGCAGGCTCATGGCGAAGGTGCAGAGGTCGTGGTTGYGGTTCATTTTTCTGCTTCTATTTTGCTTCTGTGTGGACTTGGCTCTGTGAACTCAACCTRTGTCAGGTGGATTTGTGATATGGTCAAAGCATCTAACGGGAATTGGGACAGATTCCCAAACTCCTTTTCACTTGAGCCAGAAATTACGGAGCACTAAAATCACCAACTAGTCCTTCACATCAGATGATGCTTCACATGCAGGATACAGAGATGCAGGATACATAACAACCAGAAATATTACTAAAATATTGTACAAATCAGCTTCTCCCAGTCCATATGAGGCTTTTCAGGGCAAAGCTCATTGCTGTGAAGCTTGCACACATAACATTAATACACATCATTTAATGTCTGCTTATGTCCAAAGGATAAAATACCAACAGGCATCGACTCACTTGAATATCACTAACAAGCAATAAATTAGAGATATTTAACTGACCTAGAAGTCTTTTTTTGACTGGTTGCAATTCCACTGTGATTAGACTGAGTTGCATATCTGGCTGTGAGACTGTATGAGAAGAAACAGAGAAATTGAATTAAAGAATTTCTTTGAATGCTCATAGAAAGAACACACTTATCAGCAAACTATGAGTTAATGAATGCAAATTGAACATGGATAGAAAACACAAATTAACTCGCAAATATATGAATTAATGCAACATGCAGATTTTTATGAGAGATGCAATGCATAGATTATGAGAAAATGGGTATTGTTATAACTTGTCTCATTTGCTAGAAATCATAGGAAATGTTGGCAGATGTCCATAGTGACTATATTCTAGCTTCATTAGCGCACAATATGATATCTGTCCATTTTGAAGTGTCAGTGCACTTCAAAATTTTGTGCTTGTTTTTGATTGCGCCTACGAGAAGTCCTATATGGAATAGGACATTGCTATTGGCATCTCCAGTGAAGCGACTGGGTTAGCGTTTGCTTTGGTACTTTGGTGCCAACTTGACTCAGAAGAATCCCTACCAAAGAGAGTCACTCTCCTGTCAGGATATCTCTATAGAAGGACCCCATTATAATTTTCCTTACTGTTACTCATGGCAGAACAGTATATGCATATGATGCATTACCCAGGCARATAAGCAGAGGCTTCATTAGGAAAGCCCTGACATGTGCTTAGATTCGCAGTTAAATTCCATAGGAAAATGCACCTTAGTCTACTCCCCGGCTCTCGTTTCTGAATGAAGAGAAGAAGCCAGCTTCAGAGGACAAGCTGAGCTCCAGGGCTAAGTGGTACATAYTCCACCTGACACCCCGCGGTGTGCCCTGTTGCTAAACCAGTTGGTGTACCTCTCTCTTCCAGGCATTTGCAGAGGGGATGTGCCAAAAGCCTGGCTGAGGGAATGCCTCCTGCCAAATCACTTCACTTCCTACAAACAGGAACCTCCCTTGGGAGCCTCAGGGCCCAGAGAAGTGTCTAAGTCTGGTGCAGTCACCAAACCTAAGTTCCTGTCTTATTAAGGAAGGGCAGGAGATGGGAGCAGGCAGCACCTGTGATAGGCACCATCTGAACAGGCCTCGTGCAGCCCTGCAGCCTCCAGTCCACTTCTCTGAGGAGCAGCAGAAGCTGCAGCCACTTGGCCACAATTTTACGGGGGCAATAAACACTTACATGGAACCCCTGGAGGTCCTGATTCCACCAGAAAGGTGCTGGGTGATGCCTGGCAGCCCCCTGGAGCAGACGGCCTGCACATAGAGCAGGTCTGGAGGGCCACGGATGCCACGGGGAGGCACCAACCGAGGGCAAAGTGAGACTCGAGCGTGACGTGGGCTCGTTGTTACTCTACCTATTCAAACCCCACTGAGGTTTCAACACTGCTGCTGTGACTGCCAATTACAAACAGCACCAGCGTGCAAAATTCATTAAAAATCAGTCCTAACAGGGCAAAAAAGGCACCAGCCAATATAAGAAAGCAGCATTTCAATTCCTTGACATACAGCTTCACCGTAACGGTGACAAAATGCTGTTTTAAATGACCACAGCTTCTCTGGGAATTCTAATAAATTATAATAGTACTGTAATGATTACAGTTTACGTATATTTATATTTCTATGGCCACTAGAATATCGCATTACCATTTCACGTAGAGCTGTATTTCTTAATAATTCCTGGACATACGAAGCAAATATGACACTTTAGAAAAGTTGCTAAATTTGTGAGTGGCTTGACATCAGATCTTTTGATATGATCTTCCTTTTTTTTTTTTTTTTTCCCCAGCATGTTTGAAATGACGAAACCAAGGAATATTTAGCTGGTTCTTTACTTTGACTAAGCAAAGAAGTTTGTGGAGAAAAAAAAAGGTATGTTTAAAAAAAAAAAAACAAACCCAAAACCTTAGTGCATAGATGTCATTAAAAGGTAAAATGATACACAGTGCAATCAACACAGACAGTGAGCAGAAGAACAGGGTGAATGGAGTGGGCCAGGGACTGAAGCTCTGCGACTGACACCCTGTACTGGGGCTCTTCTATCCTAAACAACGTTACACCGAAGTGGCTGGAAACTTCAACTCGCTCAGTGTCAGTGATGTTGCTGAGCTGCTGATAAATCAGCCCTCAGAGAGACGGCGCTTTGTTTTTTCTTTTTTACTTAGTAAGAACAAGAAGCTGCAACCTAAAAATCCCTTCTAGAATGGTATCCCTGTCATCCAGCTGCTAGTGGGGCTCCCTCCACCAGCAAATCCGTGGCACGCCAGGCTAGGGGCCACGTCCGGACTCGCCCGGCTCTCCTGAAGGGCGCTGCGGGCTGTGTGAGGATCAGCCAAGCACCGGCTCCGCTGCGCCTGCAGAATCTGGTTTGCCAGAGCGGCACGGGGGCCAGAGAGGCAGTTACCAGCTCAGGAACCAGGGCCCTCGATGCCTTTGGGTCTCCCCTGCCGGCCGGCACTGGCCATGCGGGTCCATCCGAGGCTGGAGCGGCCCATCCAGGGCTTGCGCGTGCTGCTGTCCCCATCCAGCCAGGCAGTCTTCTGAGGGTAACGTTTGGTGGCCAGGAAAAATAAACCTCTTGTGCTTAAACCCACCGTTTTTTTCTGCTTACAGATTGATGTAAATTTATAATAAATATGTACCTGCATTAAAGCAGCACAGTTGCAAACTGCAGAGCAGAAGTTCAGCACTACAGCATTTAGGACAGGGAAGGGTTTATTTACCAGAAAGGTGGGAAGGGGCACCTTGAAAGCGTCAGGTTCTCCGTTCTCCATCTCCCAAGACCCTTTCCACTGCCACATTCCCACCAGCACTCTCCTGTGTGCAGCACGGCCAGTGGCTTTAGGAAGCAAAGTCATGGGAGGCCATAAGGGCACATGGCTGCTGGCTGGGAGAGGGGAGTTAGAAACGATCCTAAAAGGTGTAGGGGAACGTAGGAGTCAACACATGCTACAGGCACTTAAATGCCTTCCTACAGAAAGTGAAGTGAAATGTTCAGCTGCAAGGGGCAGATAAGAACCAAAAAGACRAACTAGGAAAACGAGTCACTGCTAGACACCAGGCTAAACTGCCAGGAAGGTTTTCTGTCTATTCTTCTTCATTTATTTATTTATTTTTAATAAAAATTAGTGTGGTAAAGAAGCTCTTAGAAAGCATATATAGCACAGACAGCTGAAGGATGGAGCTCATGAACCTGCATGGGGCTCATGAACCTGTGGAGCTCATGAACCTGCATGCTCAGCAGGCACCAAGCTGAAAATAACCTCTTCCTTCAAACCCCCATTCACCCTCCCAGCATATCCTCTAGTTTTTATTAATGGTTTCCAAAAGTCCCAAAGGATCACGTTGCATCACGCTGTCCTGGGTGTGTGGCCATTCCCTGTGATGTTAAGAATTGCAAGGGGCTGCTCAAATGACTGCCGTGTGGTTTGTTAAAATTATGCAAAAGGCAAAGGGCTTTCTCGCATGCAATCGAGGTCTCTCTACCCCACTGACATGCATGAATTTTAATATGCACTTGCTCTGAAAACGTTGAAAACGTGCATTAACATCACTAAGGTGGCCGCACTCTACACCTCTTTAAGACCTGTCTGTTACAATGATCTTCTGATTCAAAAAAAGAAGTGTTTTTAATAAAACAGAATTCAAAAAAAAAAAAAAAAAATAAAATAAAAAAAAAAAAATAAAAAAAAAAAAGTCCAGAAAGTGTTGACTGTCCTGTGGACAAAATAAAAAAAAAAAAAATAAAATAAAAAAAAAAAAATAAAAAAAAAAAAGTCCAGAAAGTGTTGACTGTCCTGTGGACAAAATTTTTCAACAAACAAGCCCCGTGGCTGCATAGTTTGCATCAGCCTGCCTGTCAGACAGCACAGGAGATACTTGCCACAGGGATAGGGTGTAGAAGTTAAAAAGACTGAAAAAAAACACAAAGCCAAAAAATGTTTTTGCAAGAACACTATACATTTCAGATATTTCTTTTGTCCTTTTTAACTCACTCCTGGTTAATAGTTAATATGCGTTTTATATATATATATATGTATGTRTATATATATATAWAAATAACCTGTATATAAATCTGTGTACACACCCACCCATTAATTTTTTCTTATTCACAGGAAGAAATATCTACAGTTCGACCAGCTCCCAAGCTCATACCATGTCATCTGTTCTACATTAGGTGGACGTTTCTCCTTCCCGCTCTTTAGGCTTCTGGCATTTTATACAAGTAGGCTATAGCCAACCCACACAGGCTTGGAGTTAGGAGAAAAAAATGTATTTTCAATATAATTGTTTACCATTCATAAAACATATTTGAGATACTTCAATCTTGCATCAGCATTTATGTCCCTCTTGCAGAGCACAGAAACTTTTAATAAAAGCAGTGATTGTGCCTTTCTCCAGCCAGATCCCAGGATTTGCCATATAGATTTTCTTCTGAATTTAATGAAAGAATATGTGAAATCACAACACTAAATAAAAAAAAAAGAAGGTGCACCCAAACTATAACTTAGATGTACCCAAACTATAAAACTGAGATATTTCTTAAACTGAACTGCAAGTCAGTTTAAGTACATCAAACAACCTTTTAAAAGCCAGTACTTTTCCTGAATAAAGCAGCCAAGTGGATATCAGTTTGCTGCCAGTAGTAGGACTATGCCTTTAGGGACCAATCTAATGCTTTTATGACTTTATCTCCATTCCATTTATGACCTCCTACCAGAACAATAAGAGAGCAGATTATCTCCACGGTACCATATGCCACTGTTTTGTTTCACAGTTTGTTAAAAGAAGACGGTAGCAAAACTTTTCTCTCAGAGCAAATGCGAAAGAAACGTCACAAAACCCGAGGCTGTCACTCTTTCAAGTCTATACTTTGCCTTTTGGATCTTTTCACAGATTTCCAGAAAATTCACATTGATCAACACATCRTAAAATTTGGCTGGCATTGCTGCAGATCTGAGTTGGTGAAGTGTTTAACACGAGGCTTAAGGCTATCRTTACTTAGCAAATTAAAGTATGCTTGTGAGTCCTTTACTGGGCATTCCTATTTATTCTAAGATAGTAAAAAT